TTCATGCCCTTCAAAATATACTCTAGACCACATTCTTTTCTTAAGTACTTGTTTGCTAGACTAAAATGCATTCTAAGGGCAAATAGGCATGGCCTTAGGCAGGCGCTTGCTAGTAAAGTTAACTTATATGCCACTGGTGTCATGGAAGCCATTTCTAAAAAGAGCCGCAATATTTTACTAACGTATCTACAACTAAGTGTAAGTAATTTTCTATCGTAGGATTTCTAAATACCTTACCTGCCCACTTTCAAGGAGATTGACCCCCATAGCACAGCGAGACGAGTCAGTTTGGTTAGCAATCAGTGACAGTTCGTCAACCAGTGTCACTATCTTCCAATCAAAAACCTACAAGACCACCAGGTCGGGGCTCAATGTTTAGAGCGTTAAGTTTCTGCTTAAAGGGTCCCGAGTTCGAGCCTCGAGTGATTCACCACAGAGGGTTTGCTATGACTGGCTGACGACGGTTTCTAAGTCAGAAATTGCCACTCTAGTTTTCCTTGTCTTTGCCGGCAATACTATCTGTCTATATTAAATTAAGTAGGTAAACACATAAAATGGAGACCAAAATTGTACTGTAGCGTTCTGGTTAGAACAAACCTCCAAGAGTATTTGTACCAATGATGGCATACATTTACTACACGTGAGGGTGCCGGCTATTGAATGGGCATCGCTTTGGCAAGCTGTAAATATTGTGCATGGTGAAGCGCATTTATTCTTTTAATTTTCGACGCCCGTAAAAATGTTGTTATATGTTACGAAATGTTTGATTTGAAGAAACGTCTCCTAACATTTCCATGGCGAAGTACATTTTCGAGATTCGTACTTGAGAAAAAGGAAACCATTCTTATCTTAATCGTTTTTTATGTCTGTATTATTTCTGTCTATCGTTGTATTGCTGCTTTCATATTTAAACTTTCTTTGCATTTGCTGCCAGGTTGAGTATAGGCAGTTAGTTATTTGTAGGGATTCAAAAATATTGCCCAATTTTTATCTTAAAATCGTATCTTAACTGTTCATGATTATTTCACATGGGAACGTAGATGAATTTTAAATAAACCAATTAATGTTTTTAGAACTTCATCGTTTTCTGAGTTATACTTTGGGATTATTCAATAAAAGTAAAGGGCCTATATAAAAACGGACTCTCATACAGTTAAAACTGTGATACGCGACTGCAGTGCGTGTTTATGATAAAAAGCAGGACTTGAAAACATAATTAGTAATATTTTATTTCGTTGTCGTGTATAGGATAATCAGTAACCGTGAGTTTTAAATTGCTTGGGAAATATTAAATTGGTCAATTGGGCGTAGCCCAGTGGACCGTTTCCGGCATAGGAGGATCCGTAAAATATTTTTGACAAATAACGAGATGGTCAAAGTCGAATGTTTGAACGTTCAGTTTACCGGGACAATTTATCTAAAACAAACACCGAAATGAATTTTTCCGTCCTTCTATTTTACTACCACAGATCTCCCTTCAGTCAAATACTTGTTTCGCCTTTCTTTGCAAAAGACCTGCTTAAGTTGGATCACTCATAATCCAACTGATCCCTTCTTGAAATATGCAAGGATTTCCCCGAATCTTTTGAATTGAGGGGATCAGTCTTACTCCTTAAATAAGCTGAGGATCTAGCACTTGGTAATGCTTTTGGGCACGCAAAAATTGTTCTCTCAGCCACCATAATGTGAAGCCATGGATGTTTGTCCTCGCGTACGAAGACGTCCTATTAAACGGCAGTTGTCCTAGCTACTATTTGTACTTGAAAGAAAAAAATATGGGTATTAATGAAGGCTGGTTGTTGTCGCTTGCTAAAAATTCTCTGCACCCCTTTTACGGACGGTATCACTATAATAAAATTCCTATTGGTGTATTGCAGTCAAAGGCAGAGACGTGAAGTCGACTTGGGTCACGCCCAGACTAAACAAGGCGAATTTTCTTCTTGTGGACCTCCCGCGCAAGGTTTATTTTAACTGTGTGTCAGAACTTTTCCTTTTAAAAGTTTTCATAGCATACGAAACAGAACAAAACATAAGCAATGTGTTAAACGAACCAGCTACATTTGACTAGTGTATCTCTGGATTGTTGAACGTTTTGGTTAAAGTAGTCAGTTCACCATATAGATATCTGATTCAAACAGCTATTGGGGGAAATCGCCATGTCAGAAACATTTTAAATGGCTGATTTTCTCCATAAATGCCTAATGATGACGTTATGCAATAGCTGTGTCCACAAGGCCGTACACACACTGAGGCTTTGAATGTAAGATTTTAGACTTTGCTGTATGGGCGGACTCTCAACTAACCTAAAAAGAATTCAACATCCGACTGCAAAATTGCTTACTCATAGGGAAACATGCAACATGTTAGTCCTACGTTGGGTCGGAAGGACTTTTCATCCTCTATTTAAAACTACAACCAAAAAAAGAGGAGTTAATAAAGTCAAGAGGTCGTGGCCTAGAGAGAAGATGACTAATTTAGTGGGTGTCATCGATGCAGCCATTAAAACTATTGTCCACAAATGACCGCCTAAGTAGCTCACAGGGGCAAAATGAGAGGGTTAAGTATGTGCCCCTAAATCTTCATCATTTTATTTCAAAATTCGAAGAGTTTGTTGTAAAAGTTTGCACACGAAAACCTAAGAAAGCTAATCCGCCAGTCGTTTAGCCTACGTACTATGTATTTACAACCCACTGGCCTTATACGAATAAATCATGTCTTCCTCAGCCAGGAACGAGAATAAAACCCAGGATAGGAGTATAAAACTCCGAAGTTGTTGCCTTAGCTCTATACACCTAACATATTCGATTAAAGAGGGACCCAGAATCGTCTAGTCCCGTTCTCATATTTCAAATGTATGCCGGAAAGTGTCCTATAAAAATTTTCATGACAAATAAAACAGAACAAATCATATGCATTGTGTTAAATGAACCAGTCGAAGTTGAATAGTTTATTTGTGGATCGTTGAACCTTTTGGCTAATACAGTTAGTTTAGCTATTGCAGTAGCCTCCGTATACATATATATTTCTGCTTCGAATAGCCATCGGTGAAAAGGGCCGTCTCCGGGACGAAGTCAGACATTTAAAATAGCGGGCATTTTCAACAAGTGTCTGATGGTAGTGCTATGCTTGGAGAGTGTCCGCAAGTGTGTAACCAAACGTAGACTTTGAAATATAAGGTCGAAGAATTTGCTGTATTGACGCACTCTCAACTGACCCCTTTAAACGAATTCAACATTCGATAACAGAGATAAGTGAGGTCGAGGTAGGAATTGTTTATTTATATCCGACCATTTGTCAGTGATAATCCAACCAAATGGCTAGTGCTCGCAAAGTAACCATAAATAACCACAATGCTCCAGTCTGTTTTTGTCATTAATGCGTCTGGTCACTATGCGGCTGCCCGCGCGGTTTGTAGACTTTGATTTACAATATAAGACGTAGAGTATCTTTCAAGAGCTAGTGCTGCTCGGTGAACAACTCTCCAAGATGAATGTACACTCTAATTCAAATGTCTTATTTTTTTATCCAGGAGCGAAACCTGCGAATGGAGGTTACCCAACTTACGGACGACATGAACCGTTCGAATAATGCAGCCTTGAATGCAGAAGCGGAACTACAAGGTCAAAAGGACAAAATTCGCCTCCTTGAGTTTGAACAGGTTAACACAAATTTTATTATGTTGGCCTTTATCTCTGGTTTTAACATTTCAGCTTTACATCCCCAGGGGATTTGATTTAAGGGGGTTCAGAATTCTGATTTGCTGTGGTCGATCAGTCTGACCTTTCCTCGGAATAGCTTGATAGATATCGATTTCTGCATGAGTATCTTTAATCAATTAACTTGGATTATTGTTCCACCAACCAAGTTTTCGTGGGGTAAAATGCCTCGTAAAGAAAGTTTCTCACATCCAACGCAGTGGTCTGTTATTCGTGTAAGTTTTAATGTATCCAAGAAATTGGAAGCACTAGAACGAAACCCAGAACGCAAGCCAGTCCGCAGTCTGCTAAAAGTGTAATCTCTTGTTTGCAAAAAACGCAACCTAGGCCACTTTTAAGCGCAAAGGGCTGAAAAAAACTTGCTCGGCAGACAGTTTTGAGCTGGAGCTCTAGAAAATCCGTAACATGCTTCGTGAGAATGGGTACCCTGAAAGTTTTATAACAAAGAATATGGTGGCAAGGCAAATAAAACCCACCACACCCAATGTGGAAAAGAAGACGCTACTTATCAAAGTCCCCTTTCAAGGAGATGTAGTAAGTGAACTCCTAAGAAGACGCCGTGAGCAAGCTGTCTCAAGAACCCTCCCAGCAGCAGGAGTTCGGGGTATTATTCTCACTCAATCTGGTCTTGCGCGGGGTAGGTAAGGATAGGTCGCCAGTGCCGACCACCTCCATGTGCATTTACTTATTTAATTTCTCCTGTGGAACAGATTATATCGTTAGCACGAGTTGGCACTTATCCAAAAGAATAAGGGAACACCTCTCGGTATGGCTGGGAAAAGATGAAGTCAGGGTCAAAAACAGCGCCATCCTCGCGCACATGGTGGATTTCGAACATCGTGCGGACCCCAACGGGGCTTTCGGATGATTTATAAGGTCTCACCGAACTAACCCGAGTCCCTGGGTCAGTCCCTGGTAGCATTGGCAGAAGCGACTGCTATCAGGTTGAGGACGCCGGTCTTGCATGCACAGAAGAACCGCCTGCAAACTCCGCGCCCGGTGTGGCCAACAGTCGCTTAACTGCATGCACTCCTCCACGGGCTCTCCCTTTCTCCCCTTCGCCCTGGGTCGGCTCCACCAACTCCCGTTTCCATATAAATTTACTTGCCTGATGAGAATTTGTCGACAAAAAGTGACCTACGAATCAGCAGAAAAACAGTAGACAGACACCTTGGTACAAGGTAAAACACACTTTGCGAAGCAAGGGTGGAGAAAAAACGTTTGATTACTTAAATTCTGCAGTTCGTGCATGTTTTAACTTATCACCAGGGGAGATGCTTTAAATGAAAGAAGGCGAACTAATCGCTGGTATCGTTTGTTTACAACACAAAATCAAGTTAATTAGGAATCCTAAAATATAGGCATCCATTTCGAAGTAACTTGCAGCTTTGTCTCCTGAAATTAATATCGCGCTGCCGTCTGATCTATAGGAGATAGTGTTGCTTGAATATTCAGCACAGCAAGTTCAATCTGTTAATTGTTTCTGTTGGAGACCCGTCAGGTAACTGCAGTCACTTGAGCTCGAATGCCGAGTTTCCTTCTCATCCGCTGAAAACTGTAGGAAAAGACAGTTTATGTAAACTGTACATATTCGCAGTTTAGTGTCTCTTTCTACAGAAGCCTACACAATGCCTCTTCTTATGAGATGTATAATATGCCTTTGAGGAAAAATGCGAATGTCTGTACTATAACCAACACAGAAGTATTTTTATTAAATATAAGGTTGTATTTAACGTGCTTTTTCCATAAAGAGTTGTAATTTCCAATGTCTGGAAACATCACAGGTGGGAGATCGTCTGGACAGCAGCTGTCTATGTTCATTTTTTGAGGGTTCGGCTGCATAAGATGCCGAAATCGACCACAGTACGGGATTAATGTACATGATAATGTGGATTATTTTCAAGAGGGACGCTTGGTTTCTCAGACAATATATAGAATTCGGTAGAAGAAGTTATTTGGGAAAATGTTGTTTATTGAGTGAATTTTCGGCATTGGCTCACCAGGTCGTCATCAGACGGATGGGGAATCGTAGGAAACTGTTTCGTACGATTCCCATCCGTCTGATGACGACCTGGTGAGCCAATGTCGAAAATTCACTCAATAAACAACATTTTTCCAAAGATCTTCTTCTACCGAATTATACTTCTTGGGATGCCGATTTTCCAGTTCATATATATAGAATTGCCAATACAAGCGAGAATGTGAGTCCCAGGGAGTAATTGAGAGGTAGTAGATGTGATCGCTGGGACAAGAATGAAATGACGCCACTTCTCAAGTGGTGGCTCATTCGGCGTGACCGAGCCACATATTAAAACTTGATAAGGTGGGAATACTCGCAAGAGATGACAATCATGTGAGTCATGATTCATGGGCCTCCAGTCTATAAAAACGTGCAACGACCTGCTCGATCCGTAATCGGTGCTGGGGCTTAGTCTGTAAAAAGCAATTCGCCATTTGGAGAACGCACGAGTCGACATGTTGTCTAAGGCCAGCGCCAGGAAGCCAGATGGCTGAGGAGTCACGATGCCCAAGTCCACTACGTGTGAGGGAAGTTCAGCAGGTCATGACTTGCAGCCCGACCATCGAGCACTTAGCGCAAAAGCGGGCAACTGTTCTAGGAATGGAGTAGGAGCTGATTTTCATAAGTGTGCAGTATTATAACGACTGGATCTTGTAAATGCTGTGTACCCCTGTGTATGAATTACCTGTTTTTGCTACTGTCTCTGAGGACGGACTTCGGACTGTCTGGCGAACAAAGTTATTGTCCTAGCGACCGCAATGCTTCCTCTCAATATGTAGAATTTAATGGCTTTTCTTGGAGTTAGCAATTGTCCCTGAAACATTTTGAGGTTTATCCTGCTCGGGAAGTGTGCTAGGGACATTTCTGCTATACTGTGGAATATGAATGTAGTTCGAATAAAGTGTTTAAAAGGTTCAGTGCGTATTGTCTAAAATTGCCATACTAACACTCCTATTTCATTTGACTTCCAAATGATCGACTACTGCAACAGTTGGAGATTTCTATGAAAGAAAATTTAGTGAAATGCGTTACATCGTCCGTTTTCCGATAGCTTAAATCCCTTTCGCACCCTCCAGGTCAAAGCAACAACAGAAGCTGCAGCCTTACAGAAAAAGTATCAGACTGTTCTTGGACAACTCACTGAACGAACAGACAAGCTGCAATTACTTGAGAAAGAATGTGTAAGTTTTCCTTATAGATCCTTATTCCCCTGATACGGGCAACTTCATCATTCCCTCTGCTAATAGTGCATTCCATAGCCCGCTGGCAATTTAGGGAATAAAACACACAGGGCCTCAGTTGCCCGCTACTGACCGTCTGGACCTCTGTCCTAATATTTAAAGAGATCGGCGGCTCATCGTAATTCTATGAAAAGGTTGACTATTTTTAAATGGGATAATTAGTAGTTTAAATTAAATAGGTGTATTACGAGCTTATGACAAAGCGAAACACGTTCAATTTGCAGATATTATATTTTATGTTCAAGTCGACAAGGGGTTTCCCTTCCAAACAATTTGCAGCCCTATATATGACTTGCAAAACTAGTTTGCGACCAACTAGGTCTTTTTTTCTGTTGGTGCAGCGAATGTAACGTTGAGTACCAAGAGTATGACACAAAAGAAAAACTGGATGACAAAGTTCCTGGCCCAGTAGGAGGTTAGGATTGGGAAAGATTTCCTCGAACTTATTCTTCCATTCAGGAAAACTCAGCAACTTCCCCCAGGGACGGTACATGTATGAGACCCTCGATCGTCAGGAGCTCCTACTGAGGCTCCGTACTTCATTGTATTAATTGTGAATTATATTTAAGGTCACGTCGTTAGAGCATTGTCACTTTGACGCCATCAAAATACTAGTGTAAAGGACATTAGGCGCAACAACTCAAGGTGTCCTAGGGACGGATAAGTTGCAGGCGGCTGGTGAGTTTAGCTTATGATTTACCGTTTCTATGTACTATTATCTGTAAATAAGTAAACCATCAACAGTTATCTATTCTATTTATAAAGAGTGCTGAGAAAGCGCAAATTAATTTCAAGCTAGCTATCGCAGGTCGCCTATAATCACTTATATCCAAAACGGGTGGTCATCTTCAAATTGGTTTTCAGAGGTAACGGAACAGTGACTTAGTTACCTCGTATTTATAGGCTTCATCTACCCCTATTGGTATGCTTATGAGTGAATTTTCACTTTCTAAAAAGAGATTTCGTTTTCAGTAGTTCGTTTGTTTTCTGAATCGGCAAAAATAGCTTATGTAGCCCCACTCATATACCCCTAGTCCCAGCATTTTGTCCTGCAAAAACGGTGGTTATAGATACTGTGGGGTGGTGGAACATAGGATAGATAGAGAAGGAAATTTTTAGAAGGAAGTGTAAAGTGGAAAAATGTAGTCGAATTTGCTTCCCGCGGCCGCTGTGAGCAGGTTGTTCCGCATGTAAATGTAAGGTGTGCGCGGCAATTCGCGCCGCGGACTATAATAATCTACGACTTCAACGACTTCTTTGGAGGGCTCGGCTGTGCCGATGCATTTCTTAAACACTATGTACCAAGAGGGAGTTCAAATGCGTTTGCCTATATTTCCTTCAATAAACTTGACTTGGCTTGACTAACTCAAGAACGGTAAGTTGGACCACAGGTAAGTTGAAGAAGACGACCTCCTAACTACCATTTTAATTTTTCGGGAAATTCAAGAAACCTGCAGTTTGATAATCGGGT